GTCATTAGTGTTAGTCCGGGCGTTACAGCAATTACCACGACATTATGCTCACTTCCGAGTTGTCCAGAGGCTGGGGCTGGCTTGTGACTTGACATATTCCCACAGAATAGCCTGTCAGCGTGATATCACACGATCATGGAAGCCAATCCATTTAACATTACATTTTTATGAGATTATACGTTTATCAAACCTCGAAAAAACCTGTGTGTGTGATGTGTTGCGCCATCTTCCTGAAACCAATGTTCTTCAAGATAGTTCATATATTTGTTTTTTGTTGAGGAACAAAAGGTTTGTTATCTTTGCTCGATAGCGTTCTCTTTTTACCGTAATTTGTGATGCGCCCCTAGCTACTTCAATGGCAAAGTGTAAAAATGTGCTGTGCTGGTTGTGTGTTATATTCATGGTAGCTAAGTTGGAAATTTGTTCGGAAATCGGAGTGTCGAAAATTAGGTCCCCATGAAACTAAAAATATGGTTGTCAAAGCGATGTCATTGTGTGTGGATGTGTGTGGATGTGGACTGTGGATGTGTACAGAGCTAAAGACCACCCTATGGTCAAATTTTGTTGAAATTTGTAGTATGTAGGTACAAATCCATCGTATCTCCAGGAGTTTTTCTTAATTATTTTGAAATTTTGATTGTTACTGGGGATTTTTTTATAAACAGCCCATAAAATAACGGGATATTCGGATTTAAAAAAAACTGCTCGACGTGTTTGATTGTATGTTGTAGCACAGAAAATATACCATTAATTGGTTCCATGGTCTGTGATTATAGCCCTTTTAATTAATAACAAACTGTAAATCCCGCATTTCTGTAAAAATGACGGTTCAAAAGTTATTGTAACTCTTGTGATTTTCCACATAAAATATCATTGATACTCCCGCCGCTTAGGCTACCCATAATCAGGTTTCTTGACAAGCTAATGGGAGAAAGTATGTGTCATATTGGTTATACCGTGTATTTATAAAATGTTGCAGTACATTATATTATTATCTTCAATATCATGCCTACATAATACACTTAATACAATAATAATAATACACTGTACTTTTAATACTTTTGCTAGTGTGTAATATATGTAGTGTGTGTAGTATGTAGTATTTTGCGTAGCATGTGATATCTTTGCTTCAATTAATTTACATTTAAATTTGTCTACATGTTGATATAGCCCCTTGTAATCCTGAAGACACGTGCTTGAAAACTATTACAACAGTAAACGACAAAAAATAGTGATTGTTGTGACACGGGGCTCAGAAGAAAGCTTTAAAGCTGCGTTTACACCAAAGTTGACAACCAGGTTGTCGACTAATTTCGGAAACTTGTTGTTTTTTCTACAAAATACAGCAACTTTTTCCGTCGTCAACTAGTGGAGCAACAAGTTTTCCACTAAATTTTGGTTTCCCGCGGAGAGTCGGTAAGATCAAAGAAAGTTGACAACAATAAGTTGAAGACTAGTTGCTACGCGCTTTGCGCAAGCAACTTGTTAAAAACTAGTGGAGAACTATTCCCCTTCCCATATTGTACACATATTGTAAATGTGTATTATTGAATTATTTTAATTATTATAATAGGGTAAATGTTACGTTAGCTATCTTTCTAACTTATTTAAATATCTTAATTATGCCTAATAACTCTGGATGTGTACAGAGCTACAGACCACGCCTGTGGTCTGATTTTGATAAAAATTTGTATATAGGTACTAATCCAAAGATAGATCTAAAGATTTAGTATGTTGTAGCCACCCTTGAATTACTACCTTTGAGGTCCTTGTAGTTCTAAACAATATACAGTTGTGCAGCCCCCCCCCCCACTTTTGCTACAGCCTGATTGCTGTATAAGTTACGATTCCAAAGTTAATGTGACTTTTGTAATTTTACCTAATATCATAGTAACATAGTTACTAAATACCTATTAAATATCATTACTACTCTAAACACTTATCCATGATAATGGCTGATGACAAGCTAATGGTAGATAGTATGTGTCAGATTGCTGATTCAATAATGTAACTAAAGTAAACATTATTTTCTGTTTATGAATTATTGCACCTTCTTCGTCCGACGACATCCATGACACACTGTACTCATTATTACGCGCGCCTATTCTTTGGCAACAAGTTTTCCACTAGTTGCTCTAAATTAGTGAGGAGCAATATTTAGTTGTCAACTTTTAGTTGTCAACTTTTGGTTGTAAACTTTTGGTTGTCAACTTTGGTGTAAACGCGGTTTAAATATAAGTAGGCCTGACTGTAGCTTACTGAGCTGTTAAAAAAAGCTTTGTCATTGACAAGAGAAATGTAATTTTTCTCTTGTCTGCGGTTTTATGTCCGAATAAGAATGAATTTGGCTAGCATTAAACTTTTATTTAAGTTTATTGTAAATTAGATAAGAAAAATATGTCTAATCTGTGTAATAGCCTAATCTATAAAGTCTTTTGTTACCGTTAACGATTTGTTAAACTAAAACTATAGGCCTATCTATGAGTAATTGTATTGGAATTTTGTATCTAAATAGTACTGACTTTATTATTCTCTATTATACTGTATCGACATGGATGCAAACATTACAATTTTATCACTTACGTTTCCACAGCTGCAATGGCATTGTATCCTGTCATTTGACTGGTAGGTGCGACGATACACGCACTGCACCGGGGCGGAATGATATCCAATGTTGCAATCAATGACACTGTAAATAACATATTTTTGAGAAAACACGTCGGTTCCATCGAACTAACCGAACTAAACTGAGGATCCGAGACCAAAGACAACCAAAGGCGAAGGAGGAGACGGTGGTAGAATGCTGCAGGTTTCAACAGGAAAGGCGGCAACTCTGGCTGACGTAATGTAGTACGTAGCAGTTGATTCGTGAACGACTCCTTTATGGTTGATCTTAATAAGCCTGATAAAAATTAATTGTTGATTAAGAATTATCGTATACCAAAAGAAAAGTCAGAGAAAAATTCAGAAAAATAAATGTTTTCCCTTATAGAACTGTCAGCTATATGGATAGCTAAAGTCAATTTAGTTTTAGGGTGCGCAGGTCTGGAATATGTATTTTTTTGTTAATTGTAATTTAACCGACAAAAGTCACTCACATCCACACACTATTCAGTTTTTTTTTTTCAGCAGGATAAGAAGTGACTTGCAATACCCAAACTCTGCGACTAGGCATTACAGTCTGAGTCTCAATTAGGTGTAATTGTTTTCATTGCTGCTTGTAGAGCTTTTATAATAGTATGATGAGAAGCCAACTAACAGTACCCCAAAGTCAATGTATGTGTTATACACTATACAGACCTCACTAGCGAAGTTTTTGTTGCCAACCCTGTGTCCTGATGACAGTTAGGCCGGACGCACACAGATCAAGCATTTCACCTGAAGCAAGTGTTGCGAGGCAAAATGTTTCGCTGGGTACGAGCACCCCATGTATTTCAATGGGACGCCGCACACTGATCAATCAAACGTTGCGAGGCGTCTCGCAACGCCTTGAAACATTTGAGCAGTTGCTCGACGAATGGATCCCATACAATACAGCACGATGTTTGATGTTTCAAGGAGCAAAACGTTCTGCGCATGCGCCAAATCCTTTCTAGCTAAGGCTGGACGCACACTGATCCAGCATTTCACCTGAAGCAAAATATTGCACAACGATTTGCTTTAAGCGTTTTGTTTCTTTGCTTCTCCAGTGTGCGAGAGGTTCAAGCATGATGCAGCATTTGGTTTCAAGCATAAATAAATATTATTTGTACTGGTACTCTACGGTATTGTTTTAACATGTGTGACGAGGAAGTCAACGTTATTGCTGTATGTCAGTTTTTGCAAATGCTAGACTAAGAAAGAAAACATGGGGTTCACTCAAACAATCAGATGATAGACATTAATGCTCTCAGAAATTAAATCAGATCCAGGGAAATTTTACAATTATTATTGTCGAATACTTGCTACACTATTTTATTGGAAGGGTTATAAATAATGAACTAAATAACATAGGTTGTTTCTTAACTATCTACTACCAGTATTATATGGTTATCAAAGTGGTAGCAAGAAAAAATTAACAACAATGTGGTTAAATGGAAATTCAAAAAATATAATTTTTAAGTTGTAATGAAACTTTAAAATGCATTTTTCAAAGAGTAATAACAAAAGTAGTAAACAACAAAAGGTCCATTGAATTTCGAAAGCCTCTAAGCTTTATTAGCTAGAAAGGATTTGGCGCATGCGCAGAACGTTTTGCTCCTTGAAACATCAAACATCGTGCTGTATGGGATCCATTCGTCGAGCAACTGCTCAGTGCTCAAATGTTTCAAGGCGTTGCGAGACGCCTCGCAACGTTTGCTTGATCAGTGTGCGGCGTCCCATTGAAATACATGGGGTGCTCGTACCCAGCGAAACATTTTGCCTCGCAACACTTGCTTCAGGTGAAATGCTTGATCTGTGTGCGTCCGGCCTAATAAAGCTTAGTGGCTTTCGAAATTCAATGGACCTTTTGTTGTTTACTACTTTTGTTATTACTCTTTGAAAAATGCATTTTAAAGTTTCATTACAACTTAAAAATTATATTTTTTGAATTTCCATTTAACCACATTGTTGTTAATTTTTTCTTGCTACCACTTTGATAACCATATAATACTGGTAGTAGATAGTTAAGAAACAACCTATGTTATTTAGTTCATTATTTATAACCATCGCGACATTATCAAATAATAATTTCTAACGATATCACTTACGTTATTAAAAACCCTTCCAATAAAATAGTGTAGCAAGTATTCGACAATAATAATTGTAAAATTTCCCTGGATCTGATTTAATTTCTGAGAGCATTAATGTCTATCATCTGATTGTTTGAGTGAACCCCATGTTTTCTTTCTTAGTCTAGCATTTGCAAAAACTAACATACAGCAATAGCTACGTCGACTTCCTCGTCACACATGTTAAAACAATACCGTAGAGTACCAGTACAAATAATATTTATTTATGCTTGAAACCAAATGCTGCATCATGCTTGAACCTCTCGCACACTGGAGAAGCAAAGAAACAAAACGCTTAAAGCAAATCGTTGTGCAATATTTTGCTTCAGGTGAAATGCTGGATCAGTGTGCGTCCAGCCTAACCCCGATTGTTTTACCAAACCAAACTGCACACCAAGACTACCCATTGCAAACTATAGCATCTTTATATTTTATGTTAAATCATTTCCAAATAACTGGAATCTGAGATGTTCAAATCAACTATCAAAGAATCGAAAACTAAGAAATAGTATAGAATGTTGACGGCAGAACTCTCGAGCGGCTTTAGCCCCCCATACACTATCCAACATGTTGGACGGACATGTCGGGATCCGACGTCTTGTCGAACATATTGGACAGTGTGTGGGTTCCGACCCGACATGCTCGACGGATATGTCAGGTCGGATGCTCGGTCCGGTAGCACCACCGGGTCGCCGGAATTTTATCCCCCTGGAATTTTACCCCCTGGGCAAAGCTGACGTCACTATGACGTAGTAACCTGAGTGGCCAAAAGTTTGTTCGCGGCCGGAATTTTACCCCCGCGGATTTGGAAGTCTAATGAAAATAGTCAGAGCGTGATTAATTAGATTAGCGATAAAAACTGTCCATATAACTAGCGTTTAGGCAACTGAAGATGTACGGGCCGGATTTTTACCCCCGGAATTTTACCCCCCGGAATTTTACCCCCGGAATTTTACCCCCCGGAATTTTACCCCCTGGCTGATATTAGAAATTGAATGATTGATTTTATTATTTCTGTTTTAAATTAATTGTAAACATTTCATTATTTAGTAGCCTATCTTGATTTATTTATTTTGTAATCTCAACTAAGTAAACAGTATTCACTGTTTTATTTTGATCATATTAACCAACATTTGGCTTCAAAGATCGAATCCTGACACTCGAATCTCAAAATTAATATTAAAACCCTGTTCGATTAGTTAATGTTACATATAAATTAAGATAGTCTACTTAATAATAAAATGTTTACCATTAAATTAAAACTGAATGACGATAATTAATCATTCTCACTAATTTATAGGGTAAGCGGGGGGAATTGGGTGGGCGGGGTAATTGGGTGGTAAAATTTTTAACAATTTTTATATTTTTTATTTATTGATATTTTAACATTTAAATGACATGTATGGACAGCCAATCTCCTCAAGAATAAGCCATAACCTTTTCAGATTTGTACCTTTAACCATTTAAAGGAGGGAAATAGTTTTAGGGACCCTTGTCATTTCGCGATTCTAAAAGTTGTATGCAAACTTTTTCAATCTTTCATATAAAATGCATTAAAATTTTCATACATGTGAAATTACATTATTTTTCACCATAAAATGAATAACAATATACCAAAGAACATGCACAATACTTATCTTCATAATAAAACTAAGTTACTTCTAATTTTTTTTTTCAAAAATGTTACCACCCAATTACCCCCTTATGGGAAATTGGGTGGTAAATTTTAAAACTGAGCTAATACTGTTTCCTTGGCTTAATTTAATTAAAAAAGGCAATAATAATAATATTTTGTGAATATAATTCACACTAGAGTTTTTGTTTTGGTATTTCACCACTACCACCCAATTACCCCTATACCAATACCATTAACCCTATACCACCCAATACCCGTGAGTTCACGTCACATTGGACTGAACCCAGACGACCTAAAAAAAGTCACAAAATTGTATTATAGTTACTTAAATAGGCATAGAGACTGCAGTAGCGACTGAGCTGATGTAGTAAACTAGTGCATTAGGCCTACATTACAGTACTTAGTTTATACAGCATCCCTTGTTTTATATCGTGCGAAGGACTGGAAAATCGTGCCTCATTTTCTAAAGTTTTGAGACCATATTACATAATTTAAACCTTATTAGAGAAGAATCTGTCCCTATTTTCCTGTTAATATTATTAATGTACTCTTTATATTATGAATTTAAAAACTGTAGGCCATAATATTTAATTGTGGTTAAAGATTTTTTTTAATGTGCGTAGTTCAGGAAAAATATGTTTGTTACCGCAAAATTTATGGTAAATTTTGTTTGTTTTTTATTAAACCTAGTTAAAAATGTTGCTTTTAGTTTCCTTTATAACACCCAATTTCCCAACTTTAATTAGCATTTAGTGTTTATGGATTGTTGACCTACCACCCAATTACCCCCATGGGGGTAATTGGGTGGTAAAACACATTTTAATTTTTTTAATTTTTTTCGGGAATTGCGGGAAAAAAATAAAACATGAAAAAGATAGCTTTTTGTATTATAAAATTAATTAAGTAGGCATTTAACAACAAAAATAGGAAAAGTGGCCTAACCAGATACATTTGTAAAACATACCTCCCAATTCCCCCTGTTTACCCTATCTGGCCAGGGGGTAAAATTCCGGGGGGTAAAATTCCGGGGGGTAAAATTCCGGGGGGTAAAATTCCGGGGGGTAAAATTCCGGGGGTAAAATTCCGGGGGTAAAATTCCGAGGGGTAAAAATCCGGGTCGTACATTCTAGGTTTTTATAATTTGATGTGTTCTGATTAAACTAACAACCGTGACAATATAGGTTTAATTCCGCGTTTAATCCATCGAGCTGATGTCGCGAAACTCAAAAGTTCGCGGCCGGAATTTTACCCCCTGGTTTGTGACGTCACGTTTGCCCAGGGGGTAAAATTCCAGGGGGATAAAAATCCGCTACCCCGCACCACCCGACTCGAGCCGTCCGCCTGACATGTTGGCCACAGTTTCCAGTTAACTTGTACTTAGCGAGTTGTGCGTGATAACCGTCCCATTTTTCCATAATGTCATTTAATAATAATAAACAGTTCTGGTCAGAATTTTTTAACTCTACAGAGACCAGAAGGCGTTGTGGGCTGTCAAAAGTAAACTCTATTGCAACAAACATGCACATAGGGGCAGGATATCCTGATGGAAAAGTGCAAGGAACTGTATCCAGAGTGTGATTTAAAGTTAGTTAAAAATAAAATTGAAAATTTAAGAGCCTAGTTCCATAGGCTCTAAAAATCCCTAAAATCATCGCTGAAAATCCCCCTGAAACAGCTAACAGTCGTCTCAAAATCCATCTCAGAACTAATATTTCACCTGACTTGTTGGGTAACATGCTCGATAGTGTTCCTTGAGAGAACATATTATCATATATTTGATAATATAATATGTCATAGAACTATGATAGTGTAATACCGGCCTTACAGCAATACTTAGATAAAATCCATTGGTGATTTGAACCATTGACTAAGGAAATAAAAGTTTTGTTTCCCTTGTCTGTGTTTGAACCCAGGACCTCAGGGACCGAAGTTCCGCGCTCTAGCTATTATAGACCAGCAGCTCGCTTCCCCAAGGTGTAGGCCTAAACATTTCGAATACTGTACTACATATTAATAAATCTCCAATATGCAGTTAGCAGTTTTCCCGGCTTCACGAGTACTCTTTAACTAACTACAGTCTATTGCAGTTTCATGTTTCCACAATAACAGACAAATAGAATCATAAAACTACATATCCTTGTAGAAAAGAATTTAAACTCCTACGCCGAACTTGAAGTTCAGCAATCCAGTTTCACACTTGTTAGCTTTAGGTGTAGTCTGTTCCCAGTCATCAATAGTTGAGAAGCACTTTACTTTTATCAACAACCCCATCCCATCCACCGGTTGTTGAAAGTCCATGTCAAGCCCCCGTTCCTACATCTACATTATCAGAACAAGTGTTAAACTGTAGTTATCCAACACGCCTCTGGGACTACCGAACCTCTGTGATCGTGCGTACGGCGAGGCGCGGCGGAGAGTATAATCTGTAGAATGCGGCCAGACGGTGGGACACGGAAGTGTGGTAGTACAGGTGCTTTAGTAGGCCAGTCGGTACCCCGAGGTGCCGGTACCGGTACTGGTGGTACTGGTACTGTAGTACACATCGCAGACGCTCATTCACAGGATCGGGGAAACCGGACTGTCTGTTAGTGTGTCACATGTCATGTGTGGTGACTGAGACTGGTGAACATGCGCTTCGTGGGAAACACAAACACCAAATACGTCGCCTTGTGGGAAAGTCGATCGGATTTCCGGTATAAATCTGGCTGGTTATAGTCTGTATGATCGAACCTGTCTCCGGAGTCTATCTGGAACTTTTCCAGGCCCGGGCCATAGCCGCGAACTCTCTACCCTCGCCATAATTAGTCGCCTTTTAGCTTCCCAAGTAGCTCCAGTAACTAGAGGTGAAACTGAAAATAAATATAGCGATAAGAAATCTACTCTATAGACGACTGTTGGTTTCTAAATCAAATTTGCCCTTTTTAGTATCGATGATCTTATATTTAAATGTACTTCTCAAATTTTAATTTTAGTTTAACTAGGATTAACTCAATGTTAAGGCTCAATTTGCAATGCGACGACACTTTAGGATAGGCTACAGTAACGGAAAACAAACTCTTGTCGTGCCATTTAAAACGCATTCCTATGAAATAACAGTGATTACCATAGAGCAGCCAGTTATGGAGACCCCCATCCCATCTCAAGAGTTTTGCTCGTAGCAGCTTGCTAATGGACACTCGACATGACAATGAGGCGAAGCATCTGAGCCACTCGGACATGGTTATATATGGGAGTTGCGACCTGCCTGAGGCCCTTCACGTGCAGCTCCGTCCTCGCTATCAGCTGGGCTGTGGAGGTCTACAGTCAGACACTGCTGATACTCGAGACTGACGCAGACATTTTGTATATCTGGCGTTAAACGACTAATAATAAGCTATAAAACATTGTTTACAATTTTTCCTATATGCTGGAGGAAAAATTTATCCAGGCAGGTCCAACAACAGAAAACCCGTTTACTATGAACCCTAACTACAGTATGGCCCTCCAGGCCCTGTAAGGTATCTGGTCAATAATTAAACTATATTCATATGTGGTCTTGGACTAACA